TCGTTCATAAAGGGTCCTCGGTGGATAAGCGAAACAATTGTTCATCAAAGGTTCAATTGTAGAGCAACTAGTATCACGTGTAAGGCCACCTCGAGGTGTAGATTTGGTATTATGTTTGATACTCGAGCAAACCAAGCCATGAACAAAGGGACTCACTCTCACCCTGCTTCAGTCTTTCTAAAGCCATCGATGTGGCTTCGTACCTATTACTCGTTGCAAATCTAATTTGGAATCATTCTTCTAGTGTATAATATGAATCAATAAAGTTATAGGGTAAAGAGTTGTATCATCATAAGATTGGTTCTTTTAACGTGGTGGGGAAGACTCGACAAAGTACGACTCCACTGTTAATATACAATTTTACCTATACCTTGTATATTACTAAGTGCTCTTCTAGATCTGTCAAGCCATCATATTTCTCTATGTCGAGTGGCTCCCAGTTAGGTGGGAGAGTTATCTTCATGATTCTAGAGACGAATGGGTGATCACTGACTTCTTCGTAAATTTTGATCCTTTGTTTACATTGGGAACATGTGGTTCAAAATCAGAGTGGGACTTCTATTGTAGATTCTCTTTAAGGAGGAAGTTGGATTATTGCTTCGTTAGTGTGTTCGTGTCTGACATTCTCTCTTGAGTGGCTCTGCCTCCTTCGACTTGGCATTTTGTCACTTGGGTTAGGTGGATTTTCTGGTCTATGTGCAGGTTGACTTCTAGTTTGGTTTGGGTTTCCGTGGGTCGGTGCTAGCGACTACTGAGTTCACGTTTGATCAGATGTGGTGGTTTCTTCTTGGTTTATGTGTGACCTACTCGTCCGGTGTTTTTGAATTAAAGCCTTTAATTCGTTTCATACGGTTAGAAGTTTGGCTTGATGTTGGCTTCAAATTAATTGTAATTCTTCAGCTCCTTTTTATTGGAGTTGTGATAGCCTAGCATTATTCTGTTCTTGCATATTTTTTATCTCATCGTGATTCCTTTGTTGACACTCGTCCATATATGTCTTGAGGTTATGGATGATGGTTGCAGGGTCCATGTCGCGTTGGACACCCTTTGCCTATAGGTTAAAACCATAAAGTAGAAGAGATTGTGGGGATCATTTTACCACACCTCACGATGAGCACCAAATGTTCTTACTGAGCTGAAGAGTGATTGACAAGGCAAGAAGATGAAGTCTGTCGGTCGAGCTCCGAGTCTCCAATTGAAGTGTCTTTGCTTAAGAAAGCACAAAGACTCGCCTACAAAATACACTTTAATGCTTAAATAAGCTTTTAGATAAAAAAAAAAAAAGTAATGTATTTGAGAATGAGTTATGAGGTGAGATTTACTTCCTAATTGAGTCTCCTTATATAGGACTTAGAAGACAAAAATAGAAAAAAATATAATAACTAATAACCCAATAGATAATAATTGATAGCCCAAAAGATAATAACTTATATAAGATATTATAACAAATAAAAGATAATTAATAATATGTAACAAGATAATTAAATAAACAAAGTAGTTTTATTGAATTTGGGTCAAGTAGGTACAATTATGGAGCTAAACTTTATGATTTTCTAGTAGGATTTGTTCTAGAGTGGAGTGATTTGGACACTTTGACATACAAATTAATGAGGTAATGAATCGGTTTAAAATGTTGTAGAGAAATTGTTTTACAAACAAACCATACATAAAAACTAAAATGACGAAATGGGTTAGTCCGTCTCGTTTTAGCTCATCCCGCTTCTAATCCGTCAAAAATAAGGTGGAGTGGGCTAACCCATCATAGTCAAGACAGATTATAGATTTCAACCCATTTCGCCAAAAGGAAAGGTTGATGAACCAAGCAAGTCAGCCCATCAATAATTCTTTTAAAATATATTTTTAATTATATAAATAATTTTTTAGATTTTATTTATTTATTAATATTATTATTAGAAAATTTGAAAAAAATTATATTTATATGTTAAAATTACTAATTATAATTAATTATTTCAATTTAATTAATTAATTTTTATAAATTAAATTATAATATATTTACATATTTAACAATATAATAAAAAAGATATAATATTTTTAATTATAATTTTAATGTATAAATATTTTTTAAAATGGGTCAGAATCAACCCACTGACCCTTCTTATTCTTGAGGTGATGCAGACGAAAATAAACTAGGATCAACCTGGAAATGGGCCGTCAGACTTAACCTGTAATAGAAACAAGAACAAATGGGTCGGGCAGCCCTTTTCATTACTTTGAGCACATTTATGCTGTGTTCTGATCTTCCCAAACTTTCAATAACAATGACATAAAAATATATTAATCTTAATATTATATTAAAAATAATTGTATATAATTTATTGTTTATATCAATAACAAAAGTCGTCTGAATTCATTAATGAGTTAAATATTGGACAAAGTAAAAATGGGTCAATTTAATTTTTTATAAAAAATGTAAGAGATCAAAATCACAATATCACAGACACTTTTAAAAACCAAAAATAAATTTAAGTTAATTTAACAGGAGAATAACTCGTATTGAAATTTATTATAATAAAATATATAATGAAATAAAGGGGAAGATGTGATGAGAGGAGAAAAATATGCGATTAAATTATGAATGTCCAAACTATTAAAAATTCATTAAATATTATATGAATAGTTAAATATTATATAGATAATTAAATTCTGGTTAAATCATGATAATTTAACTAATTAAATTAGGAATTTGAATTGGGACCTCAAGATGCAAACTTGATCAATGAACATCGAAAGTGTCAACTGAATGACCTCAGAGCACACACACCAATTAAATTTGGAGTATGACTTTTCATAGATAGTATTAATTGTATTTAATGAAAAGATAATATTCTCCACCCACCTAATTTTGATTTTGATTTTGATTAGTAAGATAAGAAGAGAGGTTGAGAAAAATATAATAAATATGACCAATGATGCAATAAACCTAAAAATAAAATTATATATATACATATAATATGAGTAATTGATATTCATATAATGGGTGGTTCTGAGTCTTAATATGTTTTCTGCTAAAGAACTCACTTTTGGATGCCTTTTTTCACTTTGATAAGGTTTTGAACTTCATGAATTATTCTCTCTCTACAAAATGAATAAATAAATCAAGTAAATTATTATCATTTCATTAATACAAACTCAAACGCATTAATTAATCATCCAATAGATTATATGGTTATGGTAAGTTACAAGACTTATCTAACGCAATATGTTACACAAAATTTAGATAAACAATATAAAATACTAGGAAGATAAGATATGTTTGATATGAATGAAGCACCTACAAATTATGTTTTAAGTTAAGATGATAAAAGCAAAATTATTTGCACTAGTTAAGTCAAGGTTGTATATAACTCAGGATCATTAGATTCTCACTCTAAGTTTCTTCTTTCTTTGTGTTTCTCCTTGTTATAAATATTATTATGCAGATAGATAAACAAATATTATTTATTTTATATCTCAGGTCACAACAAAGTCAAACTTCAATTCTTTGATACTATATTTAGTTAGTTTATTTTTGTTGTCAAAAATAAAAGTTAGAAGATTTTCAATAAAGTAATAACAGCTGAATAATTGTAAATTCTCTTCCAATATCCATTGACTTGTAAATTTGAGGTTAAGTTAAAGGACACTTTTTCTGATAAATTTAACATATTTTTATTATTGATTAAAATTTATAGAGAATCATAAAATAAAATAAATAACATGTAAGAGTTATAAATCTTTATAATTTTTAATAAACTTTAATTAGTAATAATTAATGTAATATGAACAATATGTTTGAAGTTGTATATTAAAGTTTATACCAGAACATTATTTTTTTCTTAGTTTGGAAATGTGAAATTGAAAAGTCTGGTGGCTTTCTTGGTGCGGTGGCTGACGGGTGTTGTATGTCAGAACATGACAACGTCTATCATATTCACTTTGAAACTTGATGGATATAAATTCAATCACGTTCTTGTGGTTCACAGCTTGGAAAACTCAAAACCTGTGAACAGAAGAGCGTTGAAGTAACGTCCAACATCAGTGTCTGGGTCACGTAAGGTTCCAAGCCATTATTTAACTCTTGTTTTGTTTTTTATTAATATCAAGTTAAATCATTCTTCACGCACCCCACCTTAATGTTTGCTAAGCTGCATAAAGAATGAGGGAAAAAGAACAAATCTTGAAACCTTACTTCATTAACTAATATCGAGTAAGCACAGGGTTCTTTCTTTCTTGTGTGTATCCAAAGAGGTTCTCAATTTTTTAAGCACGTTCCAGCAAGTGATTTTTTTATTTATTTATTTTTTTTTTTTTCTGTTGGTGTTTTCTCTTCTTGATTTTTTATGCCTTGGGAGATATAAAAAGAAATGGTAATGTAGCCTGTGGTTTGGAGCTAGACTTTTTTGGGTTGAATTGGGATTTGCATGCTGTAGGTGTCATGAGAATTGAACTTTTCTTGTTTGCATGTTGCTGTAAACTATTAGTTTGGTGTCTGGTAAGTGGTAAGATAAAATCTTGGTGGGTTTTGAGTTAGGAAGATACTGCATATGTTGTTGTTAAAAACTCTTGCTTCAAAATTAGGAAATCAGTTGGTTCCTGTGCGCCACCCTGCTTGGTGTTCTGTTAGCAATTACCTTCCTTTTTTATTTTCTGTTTTCTTAGGCCATCTGTATGAGTTTCAGCTACAACTTTTATTTCATCATAAACAACTAAACTTATATTTGAATAGAGTTAACTGGGAAAAAGTATATTCATTTTTGTTTGGACATTGATAAATCTGTTCCTAAAAGTGAATTCTACTTTAGTCCTTGATTTGGTTAGCCAATTTGCTATTGTCGATCTTTCTATGTCTCTCTGTATTTAAGTTGCATTTGTTTGAGGAGTACAGAAGAAAAAAATTTCTTAGTTTTTGTTTAACAGTGACATTCCTTTTTTCATGGTATTATCTGCAGAGGTGCTATGAACATTCTCTTCAACTGAAATAGTTGAAGAATTTCAGCTAAATGGGTCAAGAATTTTTATCCTTGTTTCAGCTGGAAACAAAGAAATTGCTATGGCTTATTGGCATCACCTTTGCGGTGATCTTAACTTTTCAGTACCTTGAGTTTCCATATGGAATCTCTCTATTCTCTACAGACAAGATACCAACACCAGGAATTAGTACTCTAAAGGCTTCAGATGAGCCCTCTAAATCCAAATTAGTTAGCAATGTGACACTTTTCAAACCAGCAAACGCTACCGTTGACCATGCCTTTGAGATTACTAATAAATCTTTGATCTTTGGGGAAAATGAGACCATTCCAAGAACCGGTTTTGTCTTGGAACCAGGAAGCACATCAAACATATCATTAGGATTTGATGGCTCTGACCCAACTTCCACTGTCGAAAGTATTGAGAGACCAGACAAAGAATCTGAAACACAGAAGGCAGAAGATCCTGGACCTTGCAGTTTTAACAAAACTATTGGCTTGAGTTTCTCTGCAAACCAACTCCAAGAAGACAACCTCTCATCAACTGACCAAAAATCTGGAAGTCCATGTGCTTCTTCTACTAATATGAGCACAGATATTATAACTGCAGTGTTATCAAATGATTCCACCATATCTTTATTTCAGAAAGACAACATAACTAACTCCATAAAGGAAGAGAGCGTTAGGTCATCACTAAATGATGCTAAGGTCAGTGTGCCTAGTGAGAATAAAGATTATCATACACCAATTCCAGAAGTTACAACAGTATTTGAAATGAACAAGTTATTACGTCAAAGCCATGATTGGTATCGTTCAATGGTATGCTACTAAATTGTGAAATTTCAGCTTTATTATAATGACTAGAAAATTTTGCCTTTCTGATATTACAGTGTTCTTTTATGTTTTCAATTTTATTTTAGAGACCAAGGTGGTTTTCAGCTGTTGATCAAGAGCTACTGCAGGTCAGATCAGAGATTGAAAATGCACCAATTGTAAAGAAGGATCCAAATTTTTATGGTCCCATTTATCATAATGTTTCCATGTTCAAGAGGTATTATTTGATTAATCTCTTCCCCCCCTCCCCAATAAAATCATGCTTAAAAATATTCTCTAGTATTCCGAACTTTCCAAAATATGAATATTTATTGACAATGTGAACAAAAATTGCAACTGACAGATTATTCCAGCAGAGAACATTTATCTTCACATTCAGATGAAACAAGTTCAGTCTATATCAAACAAAATTCAGCATACTAAATCAACATTGCAACACAGAATAATCTCCTTTTCACCAGAAATATTATGTTTGGAAGATTTGTTCATTTATCTAGATATAAAAATATTAGGCTATGGAGGTCCCTGTTAATTTATTTGTCCTCAATGTCTCACATATGCATGGACAATGACTTAGTCATACTCTATGTTCTTCACAACAGAAGATTTTACTAGTGATTCTGTAAAAGAATTGTCCAACGGTGTGGCAACAATGATCAGTAAAGCAGGATGCTTGTTTTTTATTCAATATTTCACCTTTTAATAGTTCTGTGACTGTCAAATTTTCAGGAGCTATGAATTAATGGAAAAGACTCTAAAAGTGTATGTATACATGGAAGGAGCTAGACCAATAATGCACTCGCCATTTTTCACAGGACTTTATGCTTCTGAGGGATGGTTTATGAAGCAAATGGAAGCCAATGACAGATTTGTAACTAGAGACCCAAAGAAGGCCCACTTGTTTTACTTACCTTTCAGTTCTCGAATGCTAGAGGAAACATTGTATGTGCAGGGTTCTCATAATCATAAGAACCTTATTCAATATCTGCATAACTATGTAGAAATGATTGCAGGGAAATATACTTTCTGGAACAGAACTGGAGGTGCTGATCATTTTCTTGTTGGTTGCCATGACTGGGTATGCTTTTTTGAATTCAACTGCTATCTTTTCTATTTATTATGTTTGCTTGACATTTAACATACTTTTTTAAATATTATCATCAATTTCTTACTTCCAAGTTTGAACAAATAGCTCGATCTCCTTTGTAGTATACACATAAAAACTTGGATATTTTCTGACATAGTCTCATGATTATGTTATGATACAAGATACTTCTCCACCATGCAGGCCCCGGGAGAAACTAAGGTTGAAATGGCAAATTGCATAAGGGCCCTCTGTAATGCTGATGTAAAAGAAGGATTTGTTTTCGGGAAGGATACGTCTCTCCCGGAAACGTATGTCCGGAATGCTCAAATCCCCACCAAGGATCTTGGAGGTAACTCAGCTTCAAAGAGGAAAACTCTGGCATTTTTTGCAGGGAGCATGCATGGATATGTGAGGCCAATTTTGTTGCAGCACTGGGAAAACAAAGACCCTGACATGAAAATCTTTGGGAAATTGCCAAAGTCAAAGGGCAACAGAAATTACATTCAGTACATGAAGAGCAGCAAGTACTGCATTTGTGCCAAAGGCTATGAAGTGAATAGTCCAAGAGTAGTGGAAGCCATTTTCCATGAATGTGTGCCTGTTATAATATCTGACAATTTTGTGCCACCCTTTTATGAGGTTTTGAATTGGGAATCCTTTGCAGTTATTGTTTTGGAGAAGGATATTCCTAATTTGAAGAACATACTCCTTTCTATCCCAGAAAAGGAGTATCTTCGGTTGCAGATGAGGGTCAAAAAGGTGCAGCATCATTTCCTTTGGCACAAGAACCCTGTCAAGTATGATATATTTCATATGATACTTCATTCTATTTGGTACAACAGAATCTTCTCCGCACCAACTAGGTAACTGTGGATTGTAGATTTTCTTTTCTTGGTTGCTAAGTTGAGAAATTTTGGTCATCAAATCAAATATTGATAAGGCCATTTTATGTGTACAGTTTGGGTGTTTGTTCGTAAATAATAAAAATTAAAATGTATATTTTTCAACTGCTGATTCAAACTTTACTTTGTCCTCCTCTCAATACTTAGACTTAGACACAGTTTACTTCTAAACTAATTTCAGCTCTCAAATGGATTAGTAATTTGTTTATTATATTATTGCTATCTTTTTTATTTATTTATTCATTTTATTAAAATACTTTTAAAAATATTTACATATTTTTTTCTTGTATTAATAATGCTAGAAATATGAAATAAAGAATATAATATAAAAGAAATAACTTGAGAAAATGTAATTAAAAATTAAATTTTGAATACTAATTGATTAGTAAAGTAAAATTGATTGAGAAATAAGGGTTTTTTTTTTTAACTAAAAGGTTAAATAATTTGATTTATTTAGTAAAGATAAATTATTTGAATAATGTTTTTCCGTTAACAGTGTACTTAGTATTTTCAGTACTATAATAGTAATAGTAAGTTATTAGTAAATTTGTGTCTGTATATTTTTAAATATAGAAGTTTCATTTTGCCGCTGTCAAATTTTAATTATGTACTCAAAATTGTTTATATAAATTTTTGTGGTTAATCATTCTAGGATTTATAATAATTATTTGTTTTGGCTACTTGTAGAAATACAAGTTTTTTTTTTGTTTTAACTTGCAATGATGTTATATAGCACCAAGATGTTGTTACTAGTAATTTAAAATAAGATTATTATATTCTGAATAGGTAAAGATTTAAGTAAATTAATATATTCTGGAAAAGTAATTCAATTTAAAAGGTTTCTAACAGAAGCATTCTAAAATATTTCTAAAAATTTGATTTTAGAAATTTTTGAAAACTTTTAAAAAGTAAATTAAAAAAAAATCTAAAATAAACTTGTAGGAACCAATTTACATCATGTACAAATATAGAATATAAAAAAAATATATAATATACGGTATAAAAAGAAAATTTGGTAGTGCGGGGAGAAACATCCTCAAAATTTTATCTGAAAATTTGACACATATTTTTAAATAAGTCAATATTTTTGCTTAATTTAGTATTGTTTTAATGATCATTTTATCCCTGTAAAAAATAATTAAATACATATTTTTATAATTAAAATTATATTAATAAAATTAATAGTTTATATATATATATATATATATATATATATATATATATATATATATATATATAAACTCTGTTTGACATATTATATTCCCAGAAAGCTATATAATAACAATTCCAAACATTGTTATTTCTTAAGTAAGTAAATAATGTAATATGCACCTCTCTATTTATCTTTGATAAAAAAAATTATATTTTTAAAACTTTATTTTTAAATTATTTGATGGTAATTTTTTATTTAGGATTTTTGTATATTTATGATAATTGAAATATTCTATTTAAATAATAAAAGTTTATTAAATTTGCATTATCTTATAAAAAATATATGAAATATTAAACCGTTTAAAATAAAAACAATAAAATATCAATGTATTAAAATTTGCTAAAAAAATATCGTCACCATAATTTAAAAGTTCTATATCAACACTAAGAGGAAAAAAGAAAAAGAAAACTTAATAATTTTTTTAAAACAAATGAGATGAATAAAAAAATTAATGAAACGGTTATTAATATAATGTTCCTTTATCATAATAGAATATGTCCCCATGCTAGAATCAAATTGTCCCATTCCTTCACAATCTTCAACATAGACTAAGGTAGAATAATAACTAAGGTTTGGTGAAAGCTATTATCAACTCGATTATTATTTTTTGGATTGAATTAAGTTTTTGTATTCTTTTTTTTAGATTAAACTCAAAGTACGATTGATTGGATTGGATTTAATTAGATAATTGAGTAACAAATTTTTAAAAAATATTTTTTAATATTGTAGACTATCTTTTAAAAGATAGATTGTATTTACTAATATTTGAATAATTGAATATTTAAAAATATATATTTTATTAATAAAATAATTGAATAAATTAAATAATAATTATATTGTCTAATAATTTCAATTCTATTAATATATAAAATTCATTTTTCAACTAAAAAAAAGTCAAATTAAATTAATTAAGTTTAATTCTAAACAAAGAAATTGGAAGAATTATAGTCACAATCAATACCTATCTCCTGACCCAGGTTCCACAACAACCCCAACCCCCCCGCCCCAATCCTCACCAACATAAGTTCCAAACCCTGATTGAAAGGGTATAAAAGTCTTTTCAGCGAGGGGTAAAATTACTTACTTTTAGGTTCACAATAGCAAAACCAAAACCAGGGTCTAGTCCCTCAGTACGAACTTGAGAGTTGAACAAACATTAACCGGCAAATCGAAACGGTTTGTTTCTCTGCCTCGTATGAAATGGCGATGAAATAATGTAAATGTGAATGAAATTGAGAAGGGTAACCAAGACAAAAGAAGCGTCAATCAGATCTAATCTAAATTCTGATAATTTGCGTACGATTCGTGTATGGCCACAGAGACAAAAAGCAGCACTGTGAAGCTAAAATCTAGTTGTCCAGATGGTTCTTCCAAGGGAAAGAGTGGTTCTTCAGCTGTCAAGAAGAAGGTGGAAAACTCAAGCAAGCTCCCGGCTGATTCAAAGATGAAATCTGTCTCAACTGCGACCAAATCTGAGGTACCAATCACTCTTCAACATTGATAGTTTGAATGATGGAACTTTTAAATTATTTTATTGTTTGAGAACGATTTTGGGCACATGTGTCATGTTGATTGATAAATGGAAACTTTCAATTTGTGTGGAATTCTGAATTTGCTAGGTGGGTTTTCATCACTGACTGCTTGAAATTAAGGTGCTGTGCTCAACTGAGAAAGTGGGTTCAGAATTTTGTGAATTTTTCAAATAATCAAATCGTGATTTATTACAAGAATTTGTAATATGAATCTGGTTTTTGCTTTTCCCAATTTGAACAGAATTTTTTCTACCATATGTTTTAATGTCTCAATTGCATTCATTCTTATTAGGATGATTGTGTGTCTAAAATGCATTTTTTTTTCCTGTAAAAATATTTGAAGGTTAAATCCAAATCGACATCGTCGTCTTCAAAGACAGAAACTAAGACAACTACAAAAGTGAGAGAGAAGAAGGTCTTCAGTCTGCCCGGGCAGAAACATGATCCTCCCGAACAGGTTTGAACCCAGGATTGAATTCCAGGAATTACAAAACTAATATTCAATATAGTAATCAACTTAAGCTCATCTTTGTGATTTATAATTACCTTTGTTGACAGAAAGAACCTCTGAGGGTTTTCTATGAATCTTTGTCAAAACAGATTCCAACAAGTGAAATGGCAGAATGTTGGTGAGCATCCTTTCATTCTTACAGTTGTTACCTGTAATTTTCATTCCCATGAAAGAGCATCGGTTGCATCATATTGCCTATTTAAAACCTGAAATATGCTTTAAATCATTCATCCTGTTTCAGATCTTACCATTACATCCTGAAATATGTTTTAAATTCATTCAGCTACATTCCTTATAGCTGAATATTATCTTGTTTTCTGGTTTGTCAGAGGATTGTATTGCCTCAGCTACATTCCTCAGAATTACTTCAAGAAGAATTAAGTAAATACTTTTTTGACTTTTTAAGGCATTAGACGCCTCTACTTCTTAGTTCATACTTTCTTTAGCACCACCCTGAAACAAATTAGTGTTTAAAATCATTGATATTAAGTCCCTAAATTTTACTGACAAAATTCTACTGCTACTGATAATAAATCCGTTTTTTGTCTTCATTTTGCATCCTTAGAGAATGTTCTTTCCTTACCCATGTTGTCCCGTTTAACATTAGCTACTAGTGTATGATAAAAAAAGAACATCCTAGAGCAACTTCGGATACTCCCACTCCTATTTCACTGCCAGAAAAATGTTTGTTTCTATTGTTCTAAAATTATTGCATGAGACTATTACTTGACTGTCTTTTATGATCTAACCGATGGGCGTTCTTGCTCAACTGTTATCCAATTGGTTCTCGACTTCTTATTGCATATCCTGGAGCACCGGAATTTTTATTCTTAGAATTAAATTGCAAAGTGTAGGACATCAGTCCAAAGATTCTAGTTTGGGGTTTATAAGGCCTTTGGTTTTCCAACTACAACAACTAGCATAAATGATGTGGTTCTCCCAAGATTCTTATCAATTGGTTTTAGAACCTTCCACCATGTCTCTCACCTATAAACAAACAAAATAGGTGTTTATACTAGGCATTGCATGTTCGTTTAGTCAAAGGTCTAGTGCACAGCAAGCCTGTATGGGCATTGAGGCTGGGGAGCATGGTGGGTTGTTAGGATTCCATTGCACGGTATGAGACCTGAGTCCCACTTGAGGCTTTAGGGTCTCCAACTACACTGCTTTTGTGGTGTGGCTCTTGTCAATTCAAAGGCCTTGATGATGGAAGATTTGATGTCTCCAACCACCATGAGCTCAAGAGTTTTAGTTTTGTTTGATCTTGTCTTAGTTGTAATTTTTGTTTTGAATGTTTGTTAATGATTTACATTATATTTGATTTTCATAAGCTTGGTTTATGGAATCATTTTTAAAACTTTAAAGAATTTCTAAGTGAATATATTTTGTTTAATAGATTAAAAAGTTTTTTAATATGTTGAATTGTTTTTTAGTTTTAGAAAACTGAGAAAGAATAATTTCAATAGATTAAAATCACTTAATGCCTTTTGTTTTTCAAAGTCTCATTAATTTAATTGATTAAGACATTTTTATCAATTAAAATCATTTAAGACCAAAAACCTGAGTTGTTTAAATTAGTTAAAATTTGAATTAATTTGTTATAATCTTCTGTTCTTGGTACAAAGAACATTAACAAATTAAAAAGTTTTTAACGGATTAAAGAAGTTGTTATAGATCGAGTCTCTCAAGTCACTTTTAACATACAATCAAGAGAGAAAGTTCTATGTTTTTCAAAAATACTTTATATGAGCTCTAAAGTTTTCAGAAAAAAGATTCTTGATTCCATATTACTGCATTAAATCTTGGAGATCAATTTTTGGTTTAAAATCAATTTTTGATATAATGGGAGTGTAAAGAACTTGACATTTCTTGATGTTTCAACAAGTTTCTTGGAAAGTTGATGTTAGATTCTAAAGAATCTATTGGAGAAAATATTTTCAAAATTCAATTCACACCCCTGCCCCTTCTTAAACTCAATAACTCTCCTAATGTTGTTATCTAATATTCATATATCTAAGGATGAAACCAATTCAATTCTTACTTACACATATAAAGAGTTAGTTGGAGTTTCAACAACTTATTTCCTCTCATGATGTGTTAAATCAGCTATTATCAGTTACTGTAAATAGCATGGATTACATACCCCTTCAATTAAGGAGGAATGTGTCAACTAAAAGCATCGTTGTCTACTATTAGGGTGACAAAATGGTGAGCCCCAGCCACCAATTAATGTTAGATTGCAAATGCTTGCCAAAAAATGGGAAAGAAAAACAGAAAAGAAAATTTCTTATTTCATAAAATTAATTTGGTCAAAATATCTAAAGTATATTAATAAATTAGTATAAATTTAATTTTAATATAATTTTTTCATGTTAATATTAAAGGAATTGAGTTTATAAAAATAAGTTAACAGGAAATATAGGCTAGCAGGCCAACCTGCCTCCCTTGCCAATGGCCTACCAGGGTGGCACGACTGATCACAGAGGGCTGTTGGGCTGAACCACACTACCTGGTTTACCTTTTTGGTGAGCTCAACTCATTTTGTTACCCCTACCTGCTATTTTGTTATAGCTTCCAAGTTTGCAGTTTTAGCTCATTGACTCTCACAAGTTAGAATAAATAATTGATCATTGTCAACATTTGTAAGTGGTTTCATTATTGAACCTGGTTGTCTTTCTGAATCCTATGCCTGGAACTCAGTAAAATCCTTACTACATGAGAGTGATTGAACTTCGATATCCTTCACATCTGCTTTCTTCCTATCTTCCTGAATTAGAACTTCTTCTGCCCAGTATCTTTTCCTGCTTGTGTTAAAATAAAATTGTTTTTGCCGAAAAAAAAGATAAAAGCATTTGTATGTTTGACCTTATTTGTTAGAGATATTGCTTCCTTTTTTCTTTAAAGTATATTTTCCATTACAATTTGAAAATAAGTGTTGCTCACATAAACAAAATATAAAATTTGGCACTCACAATTTTTTGAAAATTAGAGCTGCTGAAAATTATGAGTTTCTCGGAGCTATCCCATCCCATTATTTCACCGAGTTACTTCAGCAAATTTTGCAGTATTTTTAGTTTATTACAGTAATTTATTCTTGTCACTTTCACTGGTGCATTTTCATGAGTTAATTAATTATATATGGGCTCCTTTGATAGTGTAGTTTTGAAACAAAAGGAAATAATCTCCTTGTTTTTATGTCGTTGATGACATTATTAACGGAGTATTTGCATGTTAGATGTGTGTTTGCTCAACAGTGACAGACAAACACATGCAGGATTACACTAACCTTTGACTCACAATCCAATTGACTAATCAGAATCGAACGTGATACGGTATTATAGGAATTTAATGTGTCAAACCAGAGGGTCACTCTTCATGTAGACCATGGCTAGATCTTTTGTACTTTAGAACTTGCAGCTTCTGTTGTTGGTTACTGTAAAGCATTCTGTTGGGAGAATATTTCCATGCCCTATACACTAAGGCCACTCTTTACTGAATTAATCAAGAGGAAAAGGAAGGTATTTGTAATTTAGGATTAACAATTGGATTTGCTCGTCTCACAGGATCAAGGTTGTCAAACTTTCAAGTTAACTAATAAACTTTTACAATTTTACCAGTTTACTAGTTGATTCTAGCTAAGCTCTAGGGGAGTTCCATGAGAGTTCCAAGTTTACATTGGAGTTTGACAACCTTATTTAGTTAGTACAACACAAGCATATCTGTTTATAGTACTTATCATATCACATGTCTTTTTGTCCTAACAGTCACGTATGTTATATACATTTTCCCGTGCTTAAATCCTCTCTTTCTGTTTTCTTTTTCTCTTATTCATATAGTATTTTTGGAATTCAACTACAATTAATCTAGAGTGGAATATTCTTCAACAATGAAAATCAATGCAACTTGGTTAAGCCTTTCCCTTCAAACACTTAGAGGCAAATGTTTAGCATTCCGTATAGAGACTAGTTACACAATGGATACTCATACTATTCACCTTCATGGCCTGATTTGATGGGATAAATAACCGAATATACGAAGTGTTGATGGTATTTGGATTTACATGCGAAAAAGTTTAGCCTTTCCTCTAATACAGTACAGAATATCGGACTATAATGTATGACAGAACTGCACTTCATCTCATGCTGACTTCAATAATATCACTCTTCCCGGAAACATCCACAAGAAATGTTCTGTTTCAACCTTGATTAATATTCCCAAAAATATTTTTTTCTTCAATTAAAGCGTCACGTAGAATTAATTAATTATTCAATATAATTCACTTCAATGTGTAGATTAAAACTTGCTTAGAAATTACAAACTAAGGCATATATCCTTCGATGTGCAGGTTAATGGAACATGGGATGCTGTCTCCAGAAAGAGCTAAGAGAGCATATGAGAAGAAGCAAAGGAAACAGAAGGAGCTACGGACAGCAACTCCGGTTAAGCCATCAAAGCTGGCTACTAAAACTGAAACTGCCCAGAAGCAACAACAGGCATCCAAAAATGGTGACATAAAAGCTAAGAAAAGAATTGTTGAGAGTGATGATGACGACGATAGTTATAATGATAATAACAATGATAGTAATGATAACGATGACGACGAAGAAGATTTCGTTCTAACTCATAAAAGAAGAAAAGGGTAGTAAGAAGAAAAACCTATAATTGGCTATAGCAAGGTTCAACATTGATTCATAAAAATTTTCATTTTACTTGAGGAATAAAAATAAAGATGGAAAAGACAAAATAAGGAGAAGAAATTTCCCAGTAAACCTAACAATTGTTAGATCAAGACATTCTTTGTGTATCTAACTGACTAAAAAAGTAACAAAAAATTTATGTGACTTTGGCAATCTACATAAAGACCATTGAAGCTATTTTTTCCCTTATTATTTCACATTTCACTGCCGTGAGATTGAAAACTAACAACACTACCTTTCTTATATATTTTTCTATGAAGTTAAGATCTGTGGCCTCTTTACTTATTATCTTGTTTATTTTCTCCCTCTTGTATTTGGTAATCAGGTTGAACTTGATTTAGATTGTAAATTGCTTTTTGGATAAGACGCCTCTAGAGAGCGAGAAATTATAAGGTGGTTTAGGATAATAACATATCCATGGTCCCAATTAAGCTTAATTTGATATGTATTCAGTTTTTCAATTTTTTTAAAAAATATTAACAATACTTGAATATATGTTATATGGAGATATAAGGATAGTAAAATGGACAGCGCACTTCATAATGGACGGTGCATTCACCTTGTTCACTTCAGGGATTTCACTTTTGTGTAGCTTTTTCCCATCTTCTGTCACTTTTCAAGATTACTAAGAAAAGTGATTAAGGCATATATCCATTTTAAAACTAGCACATATGGTCGTGTTTCTTGATTTCAGTATATCTTTTTTAACTCATCTCCATTTTTCACTCCTGACAAAAACATCTTTACAAATGACAAACAGATGAGAATAATTCGTTTCTTACAACACAATCTAGTTCTTAGATATGTTTGTCCCTCTGAAAAAGTGGGACTAGATTTGACTTTCAAGTGGCTGAGAGGACTGGTAGTTGTAGATATTTATCCACCAAAAACAGTATTTGAGAACGTGTTTATTAATGAAGGATTCATCTTTTCTTAATTCAGTCAGACAAAAGTAGAAATTTCAAAGAATTTGAAAGGAACTTGCATTCTGTCTTATTAGAATGTCACACTGCAACAGAAGAAAATTAGACAAGCATGAGATTCTGAATGCAACTTTGGAGGCACGGCAAGCAATTAATCATTTGATTTGGACACTAAACTAAAATATATATATTCTGATTACCCGAGTCTCATTTATAAGCAACAAAAGACTGAATTCACACACATTAAAGAAAAAATCAGTTTAGAACATTAAATTTTATGAATCTTTTAATACTCTTCTCAAAATGTCTTTTTCATAAAATAAAAAGTACTATAACCAAATATAAACACTAACTAAAATATTTGAAGAAAAATATTATTAAATGAAGTAAAAAAGTGTTTCTTTTTTTCTTATAAGGAGAAAATAAGTATGTAATGAAATAATGTCCAATGATAGTGAATGCATATAATAAGATAGTGTAAAGTTACAGAGGAGTGAAACCTGCATAAAAGTTAATGCAAGACCCTGTAGATGTCACCTGAACTCCATGTGAATAGAACATGAGATAACATCAGAATCATCGAGAGGCCATATTATGCATGGGATATATTTATTATTGTATCTTTAATTTGGTAATGAGAGGCCCCACTTACAACATATGTAATTAATGTGGTAGAAGTGTGCTACACATCCTCCATGTATGGGCAATGCATGTGACACAAAGCGGTGAAGCTGCATGTTTCAATGAGGACTCACTCACTCCCCTTGCCTCTACTTTGACCCATGAATAATTAAATTCAGAGAACCACACCACCCAGTGAGACAAAAGTGTCATACACACTGCAGCTACTTATTTTTATTTGTCATGCATAGTTATAATATCCATGTAACACCCGAGATATGAACTGCATTGTGGTTTACGGTACATAAATGCAGTAGTCTACAAATGTAGAAATATGGGATGTGCCCTAAGCTTCCCTTTATGACGGTTAGATCATTTTATTTCCTTTGACTAAAAGGTGCCAAATCCTTTACTACTGCACAAACAGGCCTGAATGATAGCATGCACGTTGCATATACAATGAAGGCTTATAGGTATATATACATTTGAGTCAAACAGAATGTTAGAACTTCTAAATTGAGTAAGACGAGTTACTTTAGGTGATAAATATAAAGTGTAAAGACTTTCTCATTTTATGAGATAGTTTGATGGACAGAATGTTTTCCTTGCATTTGAGTCTTAATATTTGATGTTTTCATTGAGAATAGGACTAGGAAAGAACTACTAAAAGTTTGTTAATTACTACCCCTTCAGTTTCACCATATAGTGCCATTTGCGAAAGATGTAACATTCAAGTTTCGTACCCCTGTGGTTAAGTAATTAATCAATGACTAGTGCACGGAATTTGATGAGAAGGCAATGATTAACGAGTCCTGAAAATGGAATTAAATGCTTTCTTCTCTTGCCTTTATTAGAACAAGGAATCCCGATTCATTGATTCACCAAAATCGATTTTAAGTGGGAGTGGCCATGTCGGGCCTTGAGATGATGATCCATGCTCGAACATGGCCCATATGTGTCAGCATTAAGGTTGTTTAATCGTTTTCGTATTGAAAATGTGTGGCAATGGTTTGGTTTCAAGACGTTTCTTCTGCACATTGTGAGAGAAGAACCATGAGCCTTATTAAGACCTGTACACTGTAGACTGAAAAGTTTAATTTTATGGATCCAAATATATAGGTATCCATCAACAGACACCAGCTCATTTCATAGGTACAATGTCAACTTCTACTCACAAGTAGGCATACTTTGGAGAACGTACATGGAAAACAACCACCATGAGGACAAAATTTAATTTCCATGTCGTTATTAAGGCCATGTCACTTCAATTCAGTTTCTTAATTTTCTTCGCAATCACCAATTGAATCATCATTCATTAATTGGCACCATAGTTTACATAGATTTGTAAAGTGTCAATTCTTAATAATAGGGAAAGGGTCCATTCGAAAAATTGAACTCAGCAGTGTCGCTATATATCATGTCTGGGGTTAGTCGATTTGTTAGAAATAAATGGCTGTTCACGTATCTGCACGTGCCAAGAAGTCCACAATTGAAACCACCTATGGTTCACCATAATTGCAACATAGCACTGGACCATAGTGCGTGACTCCTGTTTGGTGCCTGAGATTTGGGTGGTGATATTGATGTCAATACCATATTACAACAACTACCAGATTGTGAATTTGGGCTATCACTACATGGAAGATTTGACACAGGTAGCTAGCTCACTATTTTGTGGAGATACTTGTGATGCTAAAATTGAAGAAAAAACAAACCAAGAGATGATTACACCTGCTAGGAATGGAAAATAACATATATAGCCAAAGGGAAGAAATCAAAGAAGGGTCCAAAAACCTAAACATTGCTTGCTATCTTACAAACCAGATTTAAAGGCATTCACATGCCTTGCTTCGCTGCATAATCGATCTATATAGCTCAGAAAAAGGAGATTATATACCATGTTCAATTAATTAACCGAACTTAACAGGTTGTGTATATACCAAATTATTTAGCAGAACCATTGCTCAACAAATGAATTAGTTCTGATCGGTTTAATGAATCGGTTAACAGACAAATACGGGTGTGTATTGGAGACTGATGATGATGGTAGCACATGATGATAATGGAAAGATAGGTAGTTAGTTGGTAAGTTCAATCACGTCCAAAGAATTTACCACTTTTTCTCCAAATCTAAATTCTTCAGAATGACAAAGCCTTTTGGTACCCTCTTAACACGTAATCAAGAGAGTCACAAGGAGGACTTAAAGCAGGAGGGTGGCAATATGAAAAGAACGCATTAATGAAAGCCTAATTATACATTAATTAGTGGGATCACGTTACGTCACCACTTACATCCATAAATACACCAACCAATCTTGCTATGTATGCATGGAATAAGTTTCACACGCGAACACCAGCATATAAGTACAAAAAGGCTAGATCGCAATAGGGGAAAAGGGCAAATTGGAGATAGTGAAGGGAGGGTAAGAAGGTGGTGTGCATAATTGGGCTGAAAAGCTGTGTGACATCTTCTTGAAGGAATAGAGGGATAAGGGATAAATGAACAGTGCAAGGTGGGTGAAACCGGGGGCTGGTTGAAGATGGATTAGGTTGTCTATGAAGTGAAGCGCACAGTGCATAGAGAGCAAAACCAAAAAGCAAATTTTCCATGGCAAAAAGAGAGGGTGACCCATTTCTCTTGTGGGTCCTCTGTCAACCTTTATAAGTGTTGTATGACTCATTCAGAAGTGACTCTCAAAATTAGAAACCATGCCTCATCACTTGCATGTCTTGCTCACCCCCCTTACCCTCCTTCCAAACTCCACATAAAACTTCTCTCACGTCTTCTCTTACCTTCAATCTTTTCTTCCCACAAGCAATCTCTCTTTTATTACTAACCCCACCACTTCATTTAATACAAGTTCAAACATTAGTTTACAACATTGCCTGAGATTAGCTCCGGGTTCTTATGCTTATGCTTATCTCAATTTCAGTTTCAGTTCATTATGAGAGACTAAACTAGTCCTAATCAGCTGAGTTTAACAGTCAAACACACACGCTAGAACCTCTTACAATGAGAGTTTCGGCTCAGAATGATAACTCTGGGAAGGAGAGTAGCTCCACGTCGTCGTTATCAGCGGCGCCGGGGCCGTCAGAGTCCAAAACGGAGAAGCGCAACCGGGACTCGAACAAGCACCCGGTGTACCGAGGGGTGCGCATGCGGAACTGGGGAAAATGGGTGTCGGAAATCCGCGAGCCGCGGAAGAAATCGCGAATATGGCTGGGCACATTCCCCACACCGGAAATGGCGGCGAGGGCGCACGACGTGGCCGCGCTGAGCATAAAGGGGAACAACGCCATCCTTAACTTCCCCGAACTCGCCGCCTCGCTTCCTCGTCCGGTGTCGTTAGCCCCTCGCGACGTGCAAGCCGCGGCGGCAAAAGCGGCTCACATGGACTTCCCTCCTTCATCCACGTCATCATCATCATCATCATCATCATCCTTGGTCTCAACAACTTCCTCCTCCTCGTCTCTATCCTCGTTGACTTCAACCGCGGACTTGTCCACTGCGTCGGAGGAACTGAGCGAGATCATCGAGTTGCCGAGGTTGGAAGCGAGTTACGAGCTGGGAAACGAGTTTGTGTACGCAGACTCGCAGGACACGTGGCTGTATCAGCCACCGATACCGTGGTTGCAAGCCACGTACGATGCTTCTCATGGCGATGATGATATTGCAGGGCCAGAGACTGGGCTTGTCACTAGTTTTGAAAGTTTTCTCTGGGATTACTGAGATTACACACTTTCTTCTCTGTTTCTGTTTTTCAAGTGATTCCCTTAAGTGAAGTGTCCCTGAAGCGTTTCGATGCTAATTTTTAATTGAAAACGATCGTTTCTTCACTGCATTTGAAGTGATGTTCACTTTAGAACTTGGATTCAGTTTCTTGGTAGTTTTGAAGTTTGGACTGAACTCCATCAAAATTACATAAAATACTTTGCTTTATAATGTAACTTACCTACTCCTACTACTACTACTCTTTTCTTTTTTCTTAATTTGGCTTTGTGGTTTTTGTTTGATTTTATGTTTTTTGTCTGCTCTGTTTGTTTGCTGTCTCTTCTATTTACTCTCTTCTTCTGAATTGAAGCCTATTCTTCTTCCATTGTCATATTTTCCCTGTTTTGGCACAAAATATGTAGTGCTCTGCTTCGTGAAGTGGGTCTAAATATGTATGCCTTTGCCCTGTCAATCAAACTCCATAAATCTCTTCCTTATATGTCTCTCTGTTTACGTCTAATATCTTATTCATACCATTCCTTTTTATAGTAATTCATATTTCTTATTTTATTATATCGCATCTAAGTAAAAATTAGCTACTTTCACACTTCTTTTTGCACAACCAGATTTCTATTTTAAAGATAGAGGGATCTTTGAAATAATAATATTAAATCAATTTTAATTATTAAAATTTGTTTTATTTAATTACTATGAGTTTTTTTCTTATATTTGAATACATAATTGCTTTTTGAAAAATGTTACTAGTGTTATTGCTGGAAAGAACATTGTTTAGAAAAAGGAATAACTTTAGGGGAATACTAGATGATATTGTTGTTGACCAGAAACTATCTTTCGATTAGGGCTTATTGTTTGGTACACATGATTTTGTGTTATTAGATAAATAAATAAAACGATGGAATAAAAATGGTTAAGCAATTAATGAGAATGAATTTTGTTTTTAGTCCTGGATTTTACAAGCAAAAATAATAATAATAATAATAATAATAATAATAATAATAAGTTTAATTGTGTTTTTTTTTTAATCTATATTCTATAAAATTTACAGTTTTGGATCCTATCTTTTTTGTTTTTTCTCTTAATTCTGATTCTTAATTTTTATTATATTCCATTTTTAAAAATACATTAAATCATTATCAAAATATATTTATTAACAAGTTTGTTACCCTATCCAAAAGGAAGTCATAAATAACGCGTTTTCTTCCTCATAACAAAGTAAAAAATATATTATGAATAATTATACTAAAATGGGAACAAAATTACAAATAGTTTAAAAAATGATCAAAATGGTATTAAATTAGGAATCAAAATTAAAAAATTATAAAATATAGAAACCTAAATTAAAAAAAAAATCACACAAATATTAAATGAGATTATGTAATTATATTAATTTTTGCTAACACTTTAATATTCTACCTTTAAAAATGAAAAGTATATATAATAACGATGCAGCTAATATGAGACATTAATAGATTATTTTATAAAAATAATATCAAAATGGAGTAAAAATAATTAAAATATGTTTCCATAAAAAAATATATATTAATTTTTATAATTGAGAGATGAAGGAGTATATCGATCTACGGATGATTAACAAGCACGGTTGAAAATGTTAGTCTTTTTCATATGAATTATTTTCTCTTTTTCTAAAATAATAAACGTTTTGCGTTTAAATTATTTATTTTATATGAAATGAATCCATAATTTTCATATCTCATAATAATATATTTATTGTTATTTTATTTTATATTATCTAATCGAAGAGTTAGTTTATCTCCAAGTTGTTACATAAAAGATTTTTTATGTAATTTTTACATTGATAGTGTTAAATTTGTATATTTGTAATGACATTTTTATTACACTTAGAATATAGTAATGGAATTAAAAAATTAATTATTTTTTTAGCTTTCAGAGTGGTGTATATTGATAAAAAAAATATAATTATCTGAAATTATTATGAAAAATAATAAAGAGAACGAGACAAGGTGTGTACGAATTAAATGTCAAAGCTTTATGACGTTATTAATGATGCAATGAATTGCATTGCATGAGCATGTCATACATTCTGCTATTAATACCTCCTAAAAGTTTGAGGTTACTTTTGCCATCTGGCAAACGGTAATTGGTAAGGCCAAGAGATTTTGCATGAGACACGACAAATTACACGCGTCTTTGTCAACGACCAAGATCGTGCCACGTCACCTACGTGTGGCTTGGTCTCAACCCTCGTGGAAACAGGCACAGAATCCAATTACTGTTGTAACAGTTCTACAAACAAACATTGCATATTATGGGAAAAGAATGAATTTTTTTAATAAATTAACATTAATCAAACTAGTGAGAGTTTTTAGTAGTAATCTTAATTTGATATTTTTAATTTGAAGGGTCGAGAAGAAGGAGTGTGGTGTGATTGATGGAAGAGTGAGTGTGGCAGTGCATGGAGGTGTCAGAGGAGCAGGTGGAAGTTCATAAATTAATGAAAAATCCAAGTATACGAGGATTGGATGAGTTGTTAATTCGTTTTAAAAAAATAAAAATAAAAATTTAATTAATTAATAATAGAATATAAGTATATAGCATGTAAGATATTTCGATCTTACATGACATAATATAAAAAGTGCATGATTAGGTAATAAAAATGATGGAAATGTTGTGGTGAATCAGAACCCATCAATATAAGCTTTGGTTTTCCATTCTTAATAATGTCCACTTTTCAACAACGCGTTTGCGTGTTAATTTTTTTTCTCACTCTTTTAGAGATGTGAGATCACTGAGATAAGATGTGACGAATTAGTTTTATTATATTCAACAATTTTAAAAAATTATTAAAATTTATATATTTACCTTACTTTATAAAAGTAATGCTTAAATAGGATCGACAATGAGATAGTTTATTATTTCATAAATCGATTAAATTTATAAAATATGTAATTTTGTTTTTTCTTAACATATTTATATTTTGAATAGATTAAAGTTTTTTACGAAATTATTCTGTGTAGGGTTAACAGTAGCATGGATCAATATGATCCAATTTAAAAGAGAAAAAAAATGTGTTTTTAAAATTTTAAATATATTTAGTATATAAATATGTTCATAGAAGTAATATTATTTTAAAAAATAGGTGGAACTAAGAAAACTTAATCTGTTTTAATTTTGATTATTATATTTTTGAACCTTTCATCATCAGAAGTGGCAACCATTGAAAATGAATGAGAGTTTCCAGAACTGAAGAAGTGTTGAGAGCAACGTCATTTTGTTTTATAATGGCAATGTAGTTTAGTTTTGTTTCATCTTTAAGTTTAACACAAACCATGTCAATTAATCATCTCTACCTTCAGACTTTTGCTAAATACATAAATATGAACAAATGTGACAACTTGAACCAAACAATATTGTCAAAAGTAAAAAAGTTATGAAATGTTATAACATAAAGCATGGGCTGTCAAAAAACACAACATGGACATTTTACCAGCTAGCTTTTTCATTTCTTATGTACTCGTTTTTACATTATAATTATTTATTACCAACTTATATTTTTTACATGATAATTTCTCATATGCTCAAAAGTTCTTTAACTTGCTTCTACCAGGGAAATATTACAAAGCCTTACACTCCAGTAAATGGCATAAATAGGAGGAAAGTAAGCCTAAAATAATTAGCAAGAACTGCATGCATGAACATTAGCATATGTTTATATTACTCTTCCAGTGTGTATGTCTATGAATTGGCATCAATTGGTGAACCTATCAAAGGAGACTAACGTAATCTTCAAATTTTCCTGCTGGCTCTATTCATCATCTCTGATCAAACTAGATAAAAACACAAGCATCTCTGAATCATTTCATACTGAATAAGATAGGAACTCTCTCTCTCTCTCTCTCTCTCTGACTTCAAATTATTGGATAGTGTATGTAAATAAGGTAAAATGAGTAAGAAATAAGAAATGAACGTTTTAGCTGACAAACAACTGAGTTATGGTTATCCCTGTATATCCACCCCAAGTGCTGTAAATCAAAGATGAAGTGTCCCAAGTAAGTATAGCATGGTTTCAGTTACTGTAGGTTGAGGATTAACATGACGAATCCATAATTGTGCCTATACATAGCACAATCAATTGAAGAAGGCACTATGAGAAAAAAAACTATTAGCGACGGAAAAAATCGGTCGCTAATGGCAAAAAATCGGTCGTTATTCTATTAGCGACCGAAATTAACGACCGAAATGGTTCTTCGCAAAAGGTCAAGTCGCTAATTTGTTAGCGATCGATTTACATTTCGATCGTAAAATAGCGACCGATAAGGTGGTCGCTAAATAATTTGATTACTTACTCCTTAAAGACCAAAATAGCGACCGAAATTAATATAATAAATTGGTCGCTAAATCGGTGGTAAAGTTTAAAAAAAATAGCGATCGATATATTCAGTCGCTAATATATTAATTAAATTATTTAAATAATAATTAAAATCGGTCGCTAAATCGATCAGCAAAAATAGCGACGTAAATTAATATATTAATCGGTCGCTAAATTGGAGACAAAGTTAAAAATAATAGCGACCGATATAATCGATCGCTAATACATTAATTGAATTATTTAAATAATAATTTAAATCGGTCGCAAAAATAGTCACTGAATAATTTTGGTCGCTAAATTTGAATTGTATATTATAATATATTTGTAGTGACCAAAAATTCGATCGCTAATCTAACCAAATCTGAAAATTTTCGTTTAAAATTTTGTATATCCAATTTTGCAAAATTTGTACCTGCTTAATTGATCCAAACAGAACATAAATAAAAACTTAAGAACTAAAGTCAAATTATTCAAATCATAATAAGAACAATTCAAAGTCATAACAGAAATAAAATGTTTCTAAACAATTACTCAAGATTCAAAGTCTTAATATCATAAAATTGAAAATTAGTCCTTTGGTATATTGTCAGTATCATGTTGACTTGTAGTAGGATGACTATTCATTTGAATATGTTGTAAAATAAGCTGC